AATGAGCATTTGCAGGAATGAAACTTACCAAAGGTGAAGATCCTTCTCAGTGTTGAACTCCCTCCTGCCCTCGTATTTTTCTTTTTGCAGTTTTAGGGAACAAGTGCAGGGCCTTGTACATTCCAGGTCCTTCTACCACTGAACCACATCTCTAGCCCAAGCAATTCTAGTAATATATTTTTTTTGTAACAAAATTTTTTTTTTTTTTTTTTTTTTTTTTTTGGTTTTTCGAGCCAGGGTTTCTCTGTGTAGCTTTGCGCCTCTCCTGGAACTCACTTGGTAGCCCAGGCTGGCCTCGAACTCACAGAGATCCGCCTGGCTCTGCCTCCCGAGTGCTGGGATTAAAGGCGTGCGCCACCACCGCCCGGCCTAATTTTTTTTATTATTAAGAAATTTTCTGTTCATTTTACATACCAACCACAGATCCCCCCTCCTCCCTCTACCCACCACCCAACATTTCCTCCCCAGTCAACCCCCCATTCCCACCTCCTCCAAATCAGGGTCTCCCATGGAGAGTCAGCAGAGCCTGGTACATTCAGGCAGGTCTAAGCCCCTCCCCCCTGCACCAAGGCTGTGCAGGGTGTCACACCTTAGGGCACTGGGCTCATGCACCAGGGACAGATCCCTATCCCCCTGCCCGCCCCTCCCCCCCAAAAAAAAAACAGTTCAAGCTAAACAACAGTCTCGAGTATTCAGAGGGCCTAGTCCAGTCCCATGGGGGCTCCACAGCTATTGGTCCACAGTTCATGGGTTTTCACTAGTGTGGCTGGTCATCTCTGCACGTTTTCCCATCATGTTCTCGATGTCCCTTGCTTATAGAATCCCTCCTCTCTCCAATCGATGGGATTCCTGGAGCTCGGCAATTCTAGTAATACTGTTTTTATGCTGTTAGTATTTCATTGTCCATGCATGTTTACTGCTTGTCTCTTCATTTTTTGGCACTTTGTTCTTTCCTGTTTTTGTTGAATTCGATGTGTTACTTCTTTAGAAATTTCCTGCATTGGGAGGTAAGGCTGGGTGTCTCTTAGTGATAAACATTGTTTTATTGGAAAAAATGTCAAAAAAAAATGTCTTTATTTCATCTTCAATTTAGCTGGACACTAGGCTTCCAACTATTTCAACACATTTGAAAATGTGACTTAATTGAATTTCTGTCCCTTTGTTTTCCCCCTTTTTGTTCCTTTGAGACAAGATCTCACTGTGGAGCTTGGGCTGGCTTGCAGTTTGTATGTAGGGCTGGCCTCACAATCACAGAGATCCACCTTCATGCTTCTGCCTCCTGAGTGCTGGAATTACAGGAATGCTCAGCTTTGACTCTTTCCTGAACTATGCTCATGATTTACTGTTTCCTCGTAGGTAACCTGTCTTCCTCTTTAAGATCTTCTTGCTTGTCATTTATGTTCTGTATTTTATTACATGGTGTGATTTAATTTTTTGTTTAAAATTACACACACACAAACACACACACACACACACACACACACACACACACACACACACACGGCTGGGTGGTAGTGGCGTACACCTTTAATCCCAGCACTGGGGAGGCAGAGGCAGGCGGATCTCTGTGAGTTTGAGGCCAGCCTGGTTTACAGAGCGAGATCCAGGAAAGCCACAAAGCTACACAGAGAAACCCTGTCTCGAAAAACAAAACAAAAAGTCATATTAGCTCTTTCCGCGCTCTCTCCTTCCATATTCTCCCCCCTTCGCGCGCGGTCTTTTATTCTCTCTCTCTCTCTCCTTCTCTCTCTCTCCTCCCCTCTCGCTCAATAAAGCTCTAGAAAGGTAAAAAAAAATTACACACACACATACACAGACACTTGTGCCATGGCAGATGTGTGGAGGTCAGCAGACAACTTTGAGAGAACTTGCCTTTGGTTCCCAGAGGGGGACTTGAATTGTCAAGGGGGCAGGCAGTCAGTAGGGCATTGGCAGTTGGGGTATCAGCAGCAAGAGAGAGTGACACTAATGGGGGACACTGAGGAGAGGCACATGAAAGCAGTGGAAGGCATTAATGGGCGTATCAGTGAAGAGGAGGAGAAAGTTTCTTGGATGACTTTGACCCAAGTGGCCATGAGAGTGAGTGTGTGTGTGGGAGAGGAGGTGGTTTGGGTTTAGTTAAGTCTTATTTCTTGTTTGTTTGTTTGTTTGTTTGGTTTTTGAGACAGGGTTTCTCTGTGTAGCTTTGGCCTGGAACCCAGAGATCCCCCTGCCTCTGCCTCTTGAGTGCTGGAATTAAAGGTGTGTGCTACCACCACCCGACTAGTTATGTCTTGTAATTGTGAGTGTAGGATTTGTTTAGAGTGTTTGATGTCTAAGGACGTCTAGACAGTTAATGAATTTAGGGGAGTCAGTTGGCGGTGGATGTTTGGCAGTAATTGGGAAGAAGAAAAGTAGGAGTGTGAGAAGAGAGATGAGATTTGTGGGGACAAGTGATCTTGAGGTAACTGGAACCAGAGGGTGAGGATGAATATTGATAATGGAGGGGTCAGTCTGATGTGGCCGTCTGACAGAAAGGTGCTGCCATCCATCTAAAAAGTGTAGGCAGAAGTAGCTAGAGGACGCTCTTGTGTATGAGAGGGATGGAGGAGGAGGTTTTTGAGAGTTTTGGACAGGAGTGTAGAGGATCTAGGGAATGTTTTTGGGGTAAAGGAATAAGAATGGAGGAGTTGAGGGGAGGACAGGTAGAAATGTGAGTGGTTTCTTCCCCCTTCTCCCCCAGGGTTTCTCTGTGTATCTGTGTAGCTAGGCTGTCCTGCAATTCACTCTGTAGACCAGGCTGGCCTCGAACTCATAGAGATCCACATGCCTCTGCTTCTGGAGTGCTAGGATTAAAGTCGTGCATCACCACTGACCAGCTATGAATGATGAATTTTTGATAAAAGAAGTTTGAAGGATAGAATTTGAGGCAGTGAAAGAGATTTAGGAGTTGAGGGAGATAGTAGTATGAATAGATTGAGATTGTGAGGGGCAAAATGGATTGAGAGGGAATCCCAGAGTTTGTTAGATTTACAGATGAGCAGAGAAGTGGGGGCAAGAGCACATGCACAGGGAGGCCCCCAGGGAAGGTGATGTCTAGAGTTCTGGAGAGGTAAGAGACGGGCAAAGTGTGGTTGGAATTTTCTTTGGGTCACCAATCAGCTCCCAAATAAAGACGTGGAGACTTATTACTTACGAATGCTTGGTCTTAGCTTTGGCTTGTCCCACTAGCTTTTTTAACTTAATTTAACCTGTTTTTATTCATATGTTTTGTTTTGGGGCTTTTTAATCTTTCTTTCATTCTGTATGGCCTACTTCCTGCTTCCTCTGTGTCTGGCTGGCTGGTGTCTCCTGGTGTCTTTTTCTTTTTTCTCCCAAGCCTAAATTCCTCTTTCTACTTACTCTCCCTGTCCGGAAGTCCCGCCTATACCTCCTCCCTCATTATTGGTCATTTAGCTTTTTTAAATTTTTTTATTTTTTTATTAGATCAATCAGGTGCCTTAGGCTGGCAAGGTAAAACAGCAACACATCTGTAGTTTGTTTTATTTTTTTTACTCTTTGGGGGCCCGCCACCAAGCTTCCAAATAAATATACGGAGACTTAGTCTTATGAATGTCCAGCCTTAGTTTGGCTTGTTTCAAGGCAGCTTTTCTAACTTAAATTGTCCTGTTTCTCTTTAACTATGTTTTGCCTGTGGGCTTTTACCTTTCTTTATATATCGTTCTTTCCATCTTACTCTATGGCTGGCTGGGTGGCTGGCCCTGGCATCCTCTTCCCTTCTCTGTTTTTTTGTTCCTCTTCTCTCAAGCCTAGATTTCTCCTCCTATTTATTCTTTCTGCCTGGCAGCCCTGCCTACTCTCTCCTGCCAAACTATTGGTGGTCCAGCTCTTTATTAGACTAACAGGTGTTTTAGGCAGACAAAGTAACACAGCTTTGCAGAGTTAAACAAAGGCAACATAAAAGAATGCAACATATCTTTGCATTGAAAGACTCCCGAAGGTAGTCTTCCCTCTGGAGAGACCCTCGCCCAGAGATCACACCGAGACCACAAGTCAGATGCAAACAGCAAGAGACTTTATTCCGGAACACGGGTACCCGGGGCGACACAGTCCCTCCAGAGACTGAAGAGACTGGTGCCCCGACGGGCTGGAGTGGAGGGTTTTTATAGGGTCGGGCAGCAGAAGGGCGGGTACAGAAGCAAGAAGCATGTTTTACAGGGTTCTGATTGGACGACTCATATGAGGCCATGTTTTACAGGGTTCTGATTGGACGACTCATATGAGGCCATGGCTTACAGGGTTCTGATTGGACGATTCATATGAGGCCTGGTTCAAACTCAGGACAGCTCGTGGTTTTTCCCCGAGCTCGACACGCCTGCTGACCTGGCTCCCATCCAGGGTACAAACTGTCCCTCCGACCCTCCAGTTCCCTGTTCTGGGGCCAGGTGGCCGACCGCAGACACCCCGCTCATTCCTGCGCCCATGTCCTCCAACTGAACCCTCCCCGTACTCCTCAGGCCCTGCTCAAAATGGCGTCAGGCCAAGCAAGCATGCTGGGGCCCCTCAGCACCACCCCAGAAGAGTCCCGGGGTCCTGGCCTGCACCTCCCTGCAGGGTTCCCCAGTCCTCAGGCTGCGCCACCCCCACAGGGTCCCCAAGTCCTTAAGCAGCGCCACCCCGGGGGTAACCGGGCCCCAGTCTGCACCGCCCGGAGGGTCCCCGGCCCTTGGCCTGCTCCACCACGCAGGGTCCCCGGCTCTCGGCCTGTTCCATCCCGCAGGGCCCCGGGCGCCCGGGTCGCGGTCCGCACCACCCTCGCCGGCGGCGACACCGGGTGCTGGCGCTGGGCAGCGGCGCCAATCGGGCTCGAGGACACGGCGGGCCCGGGCTGGGAGCCTGCGGTCTCTGCCCGCCGCGCTACGACGCGGGGCCCGGGCGCGGGCCGCTGCGGGGCGTGCATGGCGGGCGCGGGCGGCTGGCGCAGGGACGGGGATGCGGCCCGGCCTGCGCTGCCTGCGGCTCCGCTCCTGGCGGCCTTTCATTCCCCCATTTTCTTATCTCAGGGAATGGAATCCTCCATTCATGGGGAAGAATAGGGATGTGGCTAGCTGCTCCTGATAAGCCTTGGCCAGGGGCTTCCAGATCTCCCTCTGCACCAGTTGGAGGGCTTGAAGATGTGCCTCTAAAGTAGGGGTGGTGGCAAAAGATGAAATATCAGGATGGAGAAAGTTTACAACAGGAGGTGGGGCCCCATACATGCTCTCAAAAGGGGTTAGGCCGTTTGGGCCAGGAGTATTTCGGGCTCGGTAGAGAGCCAAGGGAAGTAGGAGCACCCAATCTCTAGTGCCAGTTGCAAGCGTTAATTTGGTTAAAGTCTCCTTGATTGTTCTATTAGCTCGTTCTACCTGTCCTGAGCTCTGGGGGCGGTATGCACAATGGAGTTTCCAATCATCCCCCAATAGTTTGGCCACCTGCTGACTTACCTGGGAGACGAAGGCAGGCCCGTTATCCGACCCCAATATTTGAGGCATCCCATACCCCTTGTTTAGATGAACCTTTCCTGCGTTGACTTGAGCACAGGCTGGGCAGGTAGAAGTTACCTGCTGGAGTGCCTGATCCTGGTTCAGTAGCACTGCCCAGGTGTCCAATAGGGTCTTCATCTTGTTTTTGCTCAAATGGGTCAATGCATGGAGGAATCTCAGCATATATCGGGTATGGGAGGTTGGCATGACCATCCGGTCCTCCTAGTATATATGCTTGTCTTCCTTGTTCCCAGTCCGCCCCCATTTTCTTTCTGTGGTTCTTGTATGGGATTTCCTTACCCGCGGACGTCAGCAGGCCTCTCCGTCTGTAGATTTCCCCGTGGACATGCGCAGTGGCGAAGGCATATCTTACCTTCTGCCATCCGGAGAGCTTGGGTGAGCGCAATCAGTTCTGCACGCTGGGCCGATGTCCCGGGCGGGAGTGACGATGCCCATACCACTTCCGATTCGGTGGTTATAGCTGCCCCGGCTCTGCGTTCCCCCTCCTCCAGGAAACTGCTCCCATCTGTGTACCAGACAGCGTCTGGATCCTTCAGATCAGGGCGGGTGCCAGGTGCTTCTGCTAGAATCTGGAGGCAGTCATGCTCCTCGGAGGGGCTAGGCAGTGGCAGCAAGGTAGCAGGGTTAAGGGAAACTGTCGGCCCAAAATTTAAGTCATTCTGGCGTTAGAAAGCCATCTGTCCGGTGGTTGTCGGACCAAGGTCTCTACTGCATGGGAGGTCAGCACAGTCAACGGCTGTCCCAGAGTCAGCTTTCCGGCATCCTTGAGTAATACGGCAATGGCTGCCACCATGCGGAGGCATGATGGCCATCCTGTAGCCACCGGGTCCAATTTTGGACAAGTACGCTATAGGTCTCCTCCAATGTCCCAGTCTTGCACCAGTACCCCTTTGGCAAAACCTGAGTTCTCATCCACAAACAGCTCAAAGGGCTTGGTTAGATCTGGCAGACCCAGAGCCGGGGCCTCGAGTAAGGCCTTCTTGATCTGTTGGAACGCTTAACATGGCCCCTGGTTTACAATGGGGCTGCCAGTTCGGCAAAGCCAGGAATTCAAAGGCGGCAGTACCCAGCCGTACCCAGGAACTCTCGAACCTGGCGGGGGTTCCGAGGACTGGAGCAGTGCCCCCCGCTCAGGGTGTAGCCCAGGTAGGTCTACAGTCTTGGGCTTGGGCCGGCGGGGTCCTTGTGGCTTCTTGGGGCACTCTCGGGCCCAGTGTCCCTTCTCCTTGCAGTAAGCACATTGATCTTTATCAAGGGGTGGCCTCCTTCACTCTCCCGACCTATCTCCCTCTCTCCGCTGTCCCTGAGACACAACGGTGGCCAAAACCTTTTTCATCTCCCTATGCTGTTTCTTGTCCCTTTCCTCTTGTTTCTGCCATCTCCTTTCCTCACGCTCCTCAGGAGTTTCTCTCTTATTGAACACTTTCTCTGCTTCCTTCAATAAGTCTGGCAAACCTAGCGCCTGTAAACCTTCCAGCCGCTGCAATTTGGTTCTGATATCTGAGCTAAACTGATAGATAAATGATAGGATGACACCTGGTGCTTGCCCTGGGTCTTCTGGATCATACGGAGTGTACATCCTATAAGCCTCCTTCACCCGCTCTAAAAATGCAGCGGGTGTTGCTTCCTTTCCCTGTATCACATTCCTTACCTGAGCCAAATTGGTAGGCCTTCTGGCGGCCGCTCGGAGACCTGCTAAGAGCAACTGGCGATAGAGACGTAGATGCTCCCTACCTTCAGGTGTATTGAAGTCCCAGTCTGGGCGGGTCAAGGGAAAAGCTGCATCGATGATATTTGGGAGTTGGGTTGGCCTCCCGTCATCTCCCGGAACCTGCTTCCGGGCCTCCAGGAAAACTCTCTGCTTCTCCTCTACTGTTAAGAGGGTCTGCAGGAGCTGCTGACAGTCGTCCCAAGTCGGCCTGTGAGTCACTAGGATGGACTCAATTAGGCCGGTCAAGGCAACAGGATCCCTGGAGAAAGGGGGATTATGTTGTTTCCAATTATAGAGGTCTGAGGCTGAAAAGGGCCAGTACTGCAACTGACGATTCGGCCCCTCCCTGAGCGGGAAGGCCCTGGACTCATTGTGGGGGGGGTCATCCCGGTGGCCGCGGAGGCGGCCGGCAATGGGGGACGGGGCTGCGTCCTCTTCTTCAGCCCCGTGGGTCCTGCGAGTCGAGGTGACTTCCGGATCTTCCACGGGCACGGCCGGGGGCGCCGCCACCGGGGCGGCGGCTGGGGCCGCTTCAGCTGGCTCTCCAGGTGGTCCGGCTTGATATGGTGGTGGGTCCTCCGTCAGGAGATCTATAAGGGGGGTATGGGGGTCTGGGGGGAGGACTGGAGGCTTAGGAGTCTCCTTGTGAGGGAGCACGGGGTAAAGGGAGGAGTCCGGGTTAGGGGGCGCAGAAGGCCCAGAGACTGGAGGGGGCTGTGGAAGGAAAGGCTTAACCCATGGAAATGGGTTCTCGACCAGTGATCTCCAGATGGCGATATATGGGACCTGGTCGGGATGCCCATAAGGGCTAGGGGCAAAAACCTTGCCCTCCACCTGTAAAATAAGAGAGAGGTTAAAAGATCCCTCTTGCGGCCAGCCGACATTCATCATGACCCATTCGGCCTCGCAGAGGGTGATCCATTTGTTCTTTTTGATAATGACACCTTCATTGTTTCCTCGGGCCTTAACATCGGACCAGTGGTCCGTGGTTAGGCTCAGTGGGGTGGCGACAGCCTGTCCCATGGTGGTCTCTAAATAAAGAAGGGTTAAACACACAACGAGAAACAAACAGACAAGACAGACCACAGAATTTTTCGCTGCGCGGCTCCGGCGTAAAACCGAAAGCAAAGACTCAGATGGGGACGCGGAGTGTTTGAATTCTCCGTCCCCTGCCAGTACCACGTATCCTTCTGATGCGTGGGTGGCCCCGAAAAACCGTGCCCCAGAGGGGACTTCCCGTGCCCCAGAGGGGACTTCCCGTGCCCCAGAGGGGACTTCAGATACCCGTGGAACGTCTTCCAGGGTTTCGGTGGGCGAAGTCCGAGCTTGTCAGCTCCTTCAGCCCCCACCGACTCAGACCTGACTTAGGACGCCCGACGAAAACGAAAGACAAGTAAACAGACTGAGACAATACAGACAGACAGTGGCCGGCCAGCTTACCTCCTGACAGTGGGTCGGTGGTCCCGAGGCGGGGGTCTCCGATCCCGGACGAGCCCCCAAATGAAAGACTCCCGAAGGTAGTCTTCCCTCTGGAGAGACCCTCGCCCAGAGATCACACCGAGACCACAAGTCAGATGCAAACAGCAAGAGGCTTTATTCCGGAACACGGGTACCCGGGGTGACACAGTCCCTCCAGAGACTGAAGAGACTGGCGCCCCGACGGGCTGGAGTGGAGGGTTTTTATAGGGTCGGGCAGCAGAAGGGCGGGTACAGAAGCAAGAAGCATGTTTTACAGGGTTCTGATTGGACGACTCATATGAGGCCATGTTTTACAGGGTTCTGATTGGACGACTCATATGAGGCCATGGCTTACAGGGTTCTGATTGGACGACTCATATGAGGCCAGGTTCAAACTCAGGACAGCTCGTGGTTTTTCCCCGAGCTCGACACGCCTGCTGACCTGGCTCCCATCCAGGGTACAAACTGTCCCTCCGACCCTCCAGTTCCCTGTTCTGGGGCCAGGTGGCCGACCGCAGACACCCCGCTCATTCCTGCGCCCATGTCCTCCAACTGAACCCTCCCCGTACTCCTCAGGCCCTGCTCAAAATGGCGTCAGGCCAAGCAAGCATGCTGGGGCCCCTCAGCACCACCCCAGAAGAGTCCCGGGGTCCTGGCCTGCACCTCCCTGCAGGGTTCCCCAGTCCTCAGGCTGCGCCACCCCCACAGGGTCCCCAAGTCCTTAAGCAGCGCCACCCCGGGGGTAACCGGGCCCCAGTCTGCACCGCCCGGAGGGTCCCCGGCCCTTGGCCTGCTCCACCACGCAGGGTCCCCGGCTCTCGGCCTGTTCCATCCCGCAGGGCCCCGGGCGCCCGGGTCGCGGCCCGCACCACCCTCGCCGGCGGCGACACCGGGTGCTGGCGCTGGGCAGCGGCGCCAATCGGGCTCGAGGACACGGCGGGCCCGGGCTGGGAGCCTGCGGTCTCTGCCCGCCGCGCTACGACGCGGGGCCCGGGCGCGCGGGGCCGCTGCGGGGCGTGCATGGCGGGCGCGGGCGGCTGGCGGGGGGACGGGGATGCGGCCCGGCCTGCGCTGCCTGCGGCTCCGCTCCTGGCGGCCTTTCAGCATCATTAAACAAATATTCCACAGCATAAATGAATATAACATATCTTAAACTAATAATCCACAACACACATCTTTACATTGTTAAATATTCTGCAGCATAAAAAATGCAACACATCTTTGCATAGTTAAATATTTCACAACAGAAGAGGGAGTCAGATCCTCTGGAACTTGTTAGAGACAATTGTGAGCCACAATGTAGGTGCTGGGAATCAAGCCTGGGTTTTCTGAAAGGGCGGTACTTTTAACTGCTGAGCCATCTCTCCAACCCTCTGTCATACATTTCTGATACTACCAGATTGTTAAGTTGTGAGTTCATTAATTCAACTCTCAGTTTCTTTGTTTCCACCTCTGGGGTTTCCTCTTCTTTCTTGGCTTTCTTTCTTTCTTGCTTTTGCAGTAGAACATAGGGTCTTTCATATGCTAGGCAAGTGTTCTGCAATGAACTGCAGTCCCTCTCTTCTCCCCACTCCCGCTTTTGAGACAAGGTCTTTCTAGCTCTGTGTGTCTTGGAGCTCCCTCTGTAGACAAAACTCACAGAAATCTGCCTGCCTCTGTCTCTCTAGTGCTGGGACTAAAGGTGTATGCCACCACACCTGGTTCCTTTTTTTTTCTTTTGAACTCAGTTTATCTATGTGTCAGTTTGGGTCCAGTCAGCAAAACAGAAACCACATGCTAGTTATTTTAAGAGTGAATTCAATAAAGGAAATAGTTTTGAGTCTTTGTTGGAGGGCTTAACAAGCCAAAAGAATCTTTTTATTTTTATTTTTTATTTTTTCTATTATCAGCTTGATACAGTACAAATTCTTATCCTAATAGTGAAATGTTTCACTGAAGCTTGCCCAGTGATTGAGTAAAACCAAAACTTATAAGCCACAGTCATCCTAGGGTGCCCTCTGCTATATAGCCTCTCTGGTTCTGTGAGTTGCAGTCTGATTGGTCTTTGCTTTATATCTAGTATCCACTTATGAGTGAGTACATACCATGTTTGTCCTTCTGGGTTTGGGTTGCCTCACTCAGGATGATATATTCTAGTTCCATCCATTTGCCTACAAATTACATGCTGTCATTGTTTTTCTCTGCTGAGTAGTACTCCATTGTGTATATGTACCACATTTTCATAATCCATTCTTCAGTTGACGGGCATCTAGGTTGTTTCCAGGTTCTGGCTATTACAAATAATGCTGCTATGAACATAGTTGAGCATGTATCTTTGTAGTATGATTGAATATTCCTTGGGTATATGCCCAAGAGTGGTATGGCTGGGTCTTGAGGTAGATCGGTTCCCAATTTTCTGAGAAACCACCATACTGATTTCCACAGTGGTTGTACAAGTTTGCACTCCCACCAACAGTGGAGGAGTGTTCCCTTTGCTCCACATCCTCTCCAACATAGACTGTCATTAGTGTTTTTGATCCTAGCCATTCTGACAGGTGTAAGGTGGTATCTTAGAGTTGTTTTGATTTGCATTTCTCTGATGACTAAGGATGTTGAGCATTTCCTCAATTAATTGTCTTTCAGCCATTAAGATTCCTCTTTTGAGAATTCTCTGTTTAGCTCTATAGCCCATTTTTTTAATTGGATCGTTCAGTATTTTGATGTCTAGTTTCTTGAGTTCTTTATATACTTTGGAGATCAGTCCTCTGTCAGATGTGGGGTTGGTGAAGGTCTTTTCCCATTCTGTAGGCTGTCTTTTTGTCTTATTGACTGTGTCTTTTGCCCTACAAAAGCTTCTCAGTTTCAAGAGGTCCCATTTATTAATTGTTGTTCTCAGTGTCTGTGCTACAGGTGTTATATTTAGGAAGTGATCTCTGGTGCCAATGCGTTCAAGAGTACTTCCTACTTTCTCTTCTATCAAGTTCAGTGTAACTGGATTTATGTTGAGGTCTTTGATCCACTTGGACTTGAGTTTTGTGCATGGTGATAGATATGGATCTATATGTAATCTTTTACATGTTGACATCCAGTTATGCCAGCACCATTTGTTGAAGATTTTTTTTTTTCCATTGTATAGTTTTGGCTTCTTTGTCAAAAATCAGGTGTTCATATGTGTGTGGTTTAATGTCAGGGTCTTCAATTCCATTGTATGTTGGGGTTTTTTGTTGTTGTTTTTTGTTTTTTAAGATTTATTTATTTATTTTGTATACAACATGTTTGACTACAGGTCAGAAGAGGGCACCAGATCTCATTACAGATGGTTGTGAGCCACCATGTGGTTGCTGGGAATTGAACTCAGGACCTCTGGAAGAGCAGTCAGTGCTCTTAACCTCTGAGCCATCTCCCCAGCCCTGTATGTCGTTTTTTATGCCAATACCAAGCTGTTTTTATTACTGTAGCTCTATAGTAGAGCTTGAGGTCAGGGATGGTGATACCTCCAGAGGTTGCTTTATTATACAGGATTCTTTTAGCTATCCTGGGTTTTTTGTTTTTCCATGTGAAGTTGAGTATTGTTCTTTCCAAGTCTGTGAAGAATTGTGTTGGGATTTTGATGGGGATTGTATTGAATCTGTAGATTGCTTTTGGTAAGATTGCCATTTTTACTATGTTAAAGCCAAAAGAGTCTTAAAGAAAGTAGTCTTGGTATATTAACTGTATGAAGTGGCTTCCTTATCCAGAATTGAGAACAGAGGAAGGTTATCAGACTCAAGAAGCCTGGGGGGGATGTGGGACAGCTGTACCCAGATTCTCTGGGGAGTGTATGTTGCCTGGTTGCCAGTGGTTTCTTGGGCACTCCTAGGAGGTCCCTGGAGAAATCAGGCTTAGTGCATGCCTGCTCAGCTGACTCAGAGGCCACTGGGGTGCACTGCAAGTTGGTTTCTCTTCATTCCTCCTTCTAGAGCCTCAGGACTATGAGCCAAAATCTAGGTTACAAAGAGGTTGGTCTGTGTGAAGAGGGAGAGGCCTGAGCCCAAAGTGAGTCCCTTAGAGCCAGTAGAGAATTCATCTAGCAAGTTCATTTATTTTATTTTATTATTCTTTCTTTCTTTTTTTGATTTTTCGAGACATGGTTTCTCTTTGTAGTTTTGGTGCCTGTCCTGGAGCTTGCTCTGTCGACCAGGCTGGCCTCGAACTCAGAGATCCACCTGGCTCTGCCTTCCGAGTTCTGGGATTAAAGGCATGCGCCACTACCGCTGGGCTGCTCATTTGTTTCTGACTTCAGAAATGCAGAGAAACTGTTACATTTGGTCCACATAGCCTACTCAGGGCTCTCCCCCAGAATAGAGAAAAGATTTACATCTCATGGAGTAGTTGTTGGCTTTTTTTTTGTTTTGTTTTGTTTTTCGAGACAGGGTTTCTCTGTGTAGCTTTGCGCCTTTCCTGGGACTCACTTGGTAGCCCAGGGTGGCCTCGAACTCACAGAGATCCGCCTGGCTCTGCCTCCCTAGTGCTGGGATTAAAGGCGTGCGCCACCACCGCCCGGCCAGTTGTTGGCTTTTTTATGTGCATTGGTGTTTTGCCTGTATGAGGGTGTTGGGTAACCTGGAACTGGAGTTACAGACAGTTGTGAGCTGCCATGTGGTTGCTGGGAATTGAATACAGGTCCTTTGGAAGAGCAGCCAGTGTTCTTAACCACTGAGCCATCTCTCCAGCCCCCAAGTCTTTTTTAAATAAATTAAAAAAATATTATGTGTATGGGCGTTTTGCCTGCACTACTGTGTATATTGCCCTTGGCTGGAGGAGGTCATGAAAATTTCTGCAGAATTGGAGTTATGGTTGGTTGTGAGCCGCCAAGTAGGTATTGGAAACTGCTGGGGTCTCTGGAAGAGCAGCCAGTACTCTAAACTGCTGAGCCATCTCTCCAGTCCCTCATTCTGACTTTTATTTGTTTTAATGATTTATTCATTTATTGTGTGTACAGTATTATTACATGTACAATAATATGCGTAAATATCCCTGCAGGCCAGAAGAGGGCACCAGATCTCCTTATAGATGGTTGTGAATCACCATGTGAGTGCTGGGAATTGAACTTGACCTGTTGAAGAGCAGCCAGTGCCCTTAACCTCTGAGCCATGTCTCCAGCCCCCTCATTCTGACTCTTTAGTAAAATGCCAAGCATGGTGGTTTGAGAAGCAGGCTCCCTTGTACACAGTGCTATAGATCTTACCCTGATTAATGGAGGTTTTTAGGGACTATTTCTTTACCCTTCCTTCTGATAAACTGGGGGAGTAGCTATTTGGAAAGGGAAATAGCTTGGCTGCCATTGATTGGGAGGAGAGACCTAAGATTATAGGTTGGCTGTTAAGTAGTCAGTCACTAATAAGGACCACTTGGCAGAAGTGGAGTGACTTAATGGTTGTAGCAGGGATGGGCGTCAGAACACAGCGTGCTCCTGGACTGAGGCTCCTCTTGGCAGCTGTGTCGTGTTGCCTTTTCTTCCTGTCCCATCTAAGGGCCAGTTTCTTTGAAGACAGTGCAGGAAATGCCAGTGACTCAGCCTTGCAGATTTCTTCTGCTTGTTGCAGCTGCCGACTGGTTTGTCTGGTAAGGAGTAAGACTGCATATCTTCCAGCACACTTACCCGACCACTTGAATGCCTTCTTATGTCTTGCCAGAGATATGTTTCAGGCTGTTAAGTTTTGGTGCCTTGTGGCAAGGTGAATGTAGTATGACCTTAACACGTCTTTTGCACCTATGCCTGTAATCCTAGCACTTGGGTGGCTAAGGCAGGAGGATCATGAGTTGGAGGCCAGCCTGGTTTATATAGCAACTTCCAGGCTGCAGGCTGTATGG